TGAGGAACAGGCTATTTTGGGCCTGTTCCGCATCCCTGTTTCCGTGCCTGAGTCTTAGGGGCAGGTCGAAACAATGAGGGCCTGAAAATGGCCCTCCGTTTCAGGCTGAAAACTCTGGGTCTGAAAAAGACCCAGAAATAGGCTGAAACGAGGTAGGGCCTGCAGGCCCTCGTTTTTCAGCATCCAGGCTGAAACGAACGGGGCCTGTAAGCCCTAAGTTTTAGGCTTTTAGGCTGAATGTCCGGGACGGGCCCTGCAGGGCGCGTGTGGCTACGCAGTATGCCATAGGCAAGGTCCCACTTGCGCAAATTAGGAGATTTCGACCGTTGATCTTTGCTATCTACGGTCAGTATCTCTTAATTCGTGCAAGTGGGACCTAGCCCCAGGGCCTCTGACCCTGAGACCCGAATTTGGGGTCTGAATCGTGGAAGGCCTTTAAATTTTTTATTTTTTTTTAATTTTAAAGAATAGCCCGAACGGCTGCTAGGGGTGCTAATAAGAGCAGGCACCACTACCACTCTCGGGGAGGCTCCGTCTATTGGTGGGCAGTAGCACCCGCTGGAAATCGGGTCCAGCGTCCTAACGAACTACAGCAAATGCTTCTGAGCACAAAAAATTGTCAAAGTTGCCTCTTGCGAATTGCGGGAGTGGACATACCGGTAGCCCTTTTTTTTTTTTTTTTTCCCGACAAGACAACCCGATCGGGTGCTAGGTGTGCTGATAAGAGCAGACACATCTAGCACCGTCGGGGAGGCTCCATCTATTGGTGGGGAGCGGCACCTGCTGGAAACCGGGTCTCTTATCAGCACACCTAGCACCGTCGGGGAGGCTCCATCTATTGGTGGGGAGCGGCACCTGCTGGAAACCGGGTCCAGCGTGTAGGGGCCTAGTGGAAAGTAGCATTCACTTGCGTCCGCACCAGACCCTGCCTCAACGCCTGGGACTGAGGGCATGGGCAAATGGGTTTTTTCTTTAGCCCCTTCTGCAGTTCACATGCAAGGGAGGACTGGTCCTCCAACTTTGCTACCGCACCGGTTCTACGTGCGATAGTTGTAGGTAGTCCGTAACGAGGTGGACCAGTCCCCCAACAACTTTCACCCCCTTAGAACCCACTTGTGCGCTGCTCCTCCACAGCTGAAAATGTGTCACCTTGACACGGATGCGGAAGCCTACTATACCACAACTTTAGGGCTGGGAATTCGAATAGAAGGTTTTTTTTCTTTTCCGCATTCGAATACAAAAGGTACGTGCTGTTTTCAAATACAACACATACATGGTCTATTCGAAGTGCCCTTTTTCAATTTTTAAATGTTCAGGTCAAGGACCGTGGCCTCCTCCGCCTTCCTAAGGGCAGCTACCCGTCCTCTGCAAGCAACAACTGTCGTTCCCCATGAATTGCACCCCCAACAAATTCACCACCCTTCCAACTACCCTTTGGACCCGAACGGACAACCGGAATAATGAAGGACAACGAAATTAACTCTGGGGTATAAAACGCACCCCCGACGGGTTGCAAAATTAGCCTAGTACCTCTGCCAGTGTTGGGAAATTATGAGTTTTAGCCTGTTCCCGAGGAATTAGGAGGTGGGACCCAAGGTTCGGAAGTCCCATAAATCTTAGTTTTCTTTTGCCCATGCGTAAAAGGAAAAGGCGAAAAAAAAAGCTTTCTACACTGCAATGATATCAGGCAGGGTAGTTTAGGAGGCCGTTCTCACATTCGCGCTCTACAGAATGCATCTTACAGCAAACACGGTTACATTCTGAAAGTTAATGGTTGTTTGTTTTTTTTTCCCTCGTGTGTTTGTTACGAGTCCCCTGCCCATGGGGCCGGGCGAAATCTGTTATCTGCTCAAGTTGTGTTTCCTCAGGATTGTAACCCTGATCACACTGGCACTTTGAGGAATGTATCCAACCATTTTCCCGGCCGAATCCGTGTTTCCGTTTTTTTTTTTTTTTTTTTTTTTTTTTTTTTTTAAACCACCGCTACCTTTCCCATACGTCGGCCGCGGGCATCTAGTAGCCTACTCCTGAAAAGTAGCCGCCACGCCGCCGTTGATATTTTTCATTGACGGTGCGTAGCGGCTGAATTCGCAGCCCTAAGGCTGCATTATAGTGGGCTTCGGCATCTGTGTCAAGGTGTCACATTTTCGGCAGCGGGCGACCAGGACGCAAGTGGGTTCTTAGGGAGGGAAAAATTTTGGGGGACCGGTCCTTCAAGATATTGCGGACGACCTACAGCCAACTCTTGTAAAACCGGGACTTTTGGAAAAAGTGAGGGCATGTGAACTGCAAAAGGGCCATCAGGCCCAGGCGTTGAGGCCTGTCTTCTCAAAAGAGGGAGGTCAGGCGCAACGAAACAGGCGTTTTGCAAGAGGCAACTTTTGCGATTTTCTGTGCTCGGAGGAATCCGCAGAAAAATCTGAAATTTTGAGAATCCATAGATGAGTTCGTGTTCTTTCCAGGAAAAATATCAGAACATTTTCAAAAAATCCTTTGGACCACAAAATAATCGTCACGCCGATTCGTGGCACATTTTCCATTTTTGCCACTCAGCCATGTGTGGGCCAACTGAAAAAAGTACTCCAAATTCAGTGAGTTTTCGCGCTCAGAAGAATGCGTGAAAAAAACCGAAAATTTGAGTACTCGTAGATTTTGTTGTGATCCTTCAAAAAAAATGCGGGCGCAATTTGACCCATATTTCAATTTGCCATTCAGCCTCTCTCTCTCTCTCTCTCTCTCTCTCTCTCTCTCTCTCTCTCTCTCTCTCTCTCTCTGTGTCTCTGTGGTAGCGGCCCCTCCCCTCCCTCTCT